ATGCCTTTTGATCTGAGTTAAGGACGTAGTGTCCCGCAATGGAGGTGGCTCAGTATCGTCGAGAACCACATTCCAGAGATTCAGAGATTGCAAATGAATCTCCATTTTCAGTGCCCAAACATGGTAATTTTCGCCATTGAAGTGTGGAGATGCAGATGAACCAGAACAAGTTGCCATTTTTGTAACAGGTTTTGGGATTTTTGGATTGGTGGGTAAGTTGTATTCTTTTCACAGATCCCTCAAAACAAGAGGCTCTGATACCATGCAGTATTTTTACGTAGGAAATTGCTGCATGCAAAAACTATTTACGTAGCTTTTATAGAGAGAGAAAGTAAGAGAGAGAGAGGGCACCGAAATAGAGTGCAACCCTGCAAACGCTCATGTTTCGTGCTTAGATGATTTTTGAAGAAGGCAATGGAGGAAAGGGTCTGCCCTTTTTATTCATATTTACATGGCTTAAATAAGCCAGTTTACAATCATAAATCTCATTTTATCGTACAAGTGATAGGCTTGCAATTGAATTCAAATTTTACCCTATTCAATTATAATTAAATTCAAAAACTGAAATTTAAAATTCAAATACAAGTTGATAAAAATAAATTTTAACTGATTCTTAATAATGTAACATAATATTTACAAAGTGGAATAAAAACTTTATAAATTAAACTGAAATTTTATTGATACCTTTATTGTAAAAGAATATTAAAAACAAAAGCAATGTGAGACTCATGTTGGTCATTATACCCACTGTCCAATAATAAAAGCTCAAGTTAGTGAATTACCACATAACAAACCGCAAGGATTTGTCGTAAGAATGATTTGATCCATAAGGGATAAGATTGTAATTTCCTTAAGGTTAATACAAATATAGGAAACCTCAAAAAGGAACTTGTACAGGGAAGCAGAAAACAACACAAAATAAAACAAAACAAAGGTTTCTTACTTGCAGAGAAAGACTGTCGATGACCCCTGCTTCACAAAATGGAACGAAAGCCAAGTATGCAAAAAAAAGACCAGCTTCATATCTACAGGAGAAAAAGAAATTTGTCTACAGAAAAAAAAGCTGGAAAAGCACACCACTGATGAAATGAATCTGTGAATCTAGTAAATTACATGTCATCTGCAATCCCAAAGGCTCTTTTCTCCATTGGTGTGAAGGCACCAGAAGCAGATGCCCTTCTCCAAAGCCCCTCAGATAATGTTCCAGGACCTTCTAAATTTGAAAACCTGTGATCTCATATCATTAAACAGACAACTCCGGAAAGGGTTCAATGATATACAATTATCATAAAGCACAACTACGCACCATTAATTTATATATTTTCAACTCCGAACTAGTGGCAGAGATCATCATAAAGTAATAGAAACACATTGGTCGCATACATGGAGACCAAAATAAGTAAGAATCTAATATCATAAGTACATTTGTTTAGGAAAAAAGTACTAACCACACTGCTGGCCTGTTTTAACAAAATATCTAGGGTGTTCTTGAGGGTTTTATATAATATTTTCCTTACATGACCCCTTGTGGTTTCTGCCCCTTAAGTGAGTGTTATGATGTTATACTTGAGGCTTGCATGTGATGAAAACAGAAAATTGGCATGCTGAATGCTATTTGACCTTTACAGCCTATGCATAAATAATATCGTTCTTTTTAAAAA